TTGTAAACAGTTTTTGTGTCCGTTGGTCTATGGGTCGATGTATCGACTCTGTGTTTTACAGTTGCGTACAAAATGAGTACAAAGGAATCATAAACACGTTCGGTTTTCGTTGCTTGTTGCCATACGATTGTGTTAACTCAATACATAATGCTCGTAGAGGTGAAATCTTAGGAAACTGCAATGTTGTTGAAATATTCACTTGAGTGATGGAAAAACGAAATTTTTGGAAGTTAATGCACACTCGTAACTAAATAGCGAAGGAGTCCCAGCCATGTTTAGTAGCAGAAGTAAACACTGAGAGCGGACGAACACATTTGACTAAACTATCACACAATTGTTTTGCGAGAGTCGATTGTTTTGTGGCCCCTTCAAGTTTAGTTACACAACTAAAATTCAAGTAGTGTGTGCACCTCTATGTAAGCTTGTAGTAAAGCGTGACTAAACAGTTGTGCGATAGTTTAATCAGGTGTGCGCGCGGTCAACTTAGCAGTCCATGCTTTCTTAACCTTCATAGCGTAGACATTATGAATGTAGGAATGTATTTCTGAAGTCAAATTTGTTTTCTCTTGTCAATTTGTTCTTAGAGTTTACCTCAAGTTAAGAGACAACTGTAGGTTAAACTAAGTTAGTCGCACTGTTCGTGTACGTATTACGATAATGTAATACTATATCTAGATATTTAATACTAAAACCGTGTTCAAAACATATCTGATAGTAAAATGAATAGTAGGTTAGAACATCTTTAAAGAGGCGTTTGTCGTTTAACAGTAGTTTGATCGCTCTCTCTTCCGGTATCCGCTAACTACACAAGTGTGTTTCCACACTGATGTAGAAGCGACTTTAGACTCATACCACAGTAGTGTTGTCATCCCCATTGCATCAACCACCACCACCAGTGTTCCTGTATTTTGATAATTTTAGTGACCCGGTAACTAGTGATAGAAATTTCCAAAGTATATTACTGTAGTTGTCATCCACTTGCCCTTGTCCTTATGGAAGGTCGGCACAGTACTTACTCTTCCATACATGTCTATCAGCTGTCATCACCACTCCCTGAAGAATGAAATACCATCTTTTTTAATTGTCCGGCTCGCCTGGACCAGTACCACGACGGTACAAAGGCGTGCAGTAAGTAATTCTTCGCTTTGTTTGATGATTGTGTGCTGGAGACATAATTTGAGTTCCCTTTTCCATCTTGTTGAAAGCGGAATTTAAGGAGGAGGTAGCATTGTGGGAAATGTTATCTTTCTTTTGCGTCTCATAAGTAGATTAAGATTAGACAGCGCATCTGCATTTGTCGATGTCAATGGTCAGTGTTCGTTTCGCTCTTTCGCCATTTATCCTATATTATAAAAAACACTACCTATCGCTCGTGATTCCGTCCGCGTGGAAGTCAAAAAAATAAAAATAAGTAGCCTATGTGTTCTTTCAGACTATCCTCGTCATCCATGCCTAATTTCATCGAGATCTGTTGAGCAGTTTAGGCTACAAATTTTAACAAACATCCATCCATCCATCTAAACTTTTCATTTATAATACAAGTATAAGTTTATTAGTAAGATTATAGCAATGAATGAATTGAGATCTTAATGTCTATAAATTGTAAAGTTTCGATATAAGAAACTGGAGGCATCCAAGCGTTTACTAGTACTCTTGTTTGTGATCTGTGTTTACACTTTCTATTGTTGATATCTCCATAATTAAAGTTTTATCATAGTTATAAATCATTGTGTATTATATTCATTGAATCTTATACAGTGATTCATTGAGTTGCGGGTTAACAGACGTCTTCACTTTCAACGCTTTCTTATACGCTAATGGTGTATTGTGGCTAAATTTAACAGCGCCTCCACGCATTCCGCTGTCGGTAATTACTATCTATGGTTGCTTGTTAATGTGACAAAGTTAAGCGGAACTTTCTATAGATTTCGTTTTCTAATAGTGATTTGTCATTTGTTTTATGTTCATAAAATATGGGTGCGTCCCCAGGTGTGTTACAGTGGTCAAAATATCGTAAACAGCGTCGACTGGATTATCCTATTCTAGGATTATATTTCTATCTGTTTTTGTTACCTTATTTTCGTTTTATTAACAAAATGCTTGGCTATCTTTAATTAACATTTTTGCAGAGTTAAAGAAGTTGCGAAATGTTAAAATATCTATATTGTTGTTTATTATTTATGAGTTAATTACTAATTTAATGTCGCTTAAAGTTAAATCCTTTTGCATAACTTATCTCTTGTTAAGAAGTACATCCATCCAATCTTAAGATCATTAGTGACAAAACTTGAGTTATCAACAACAAACAATTTGAGGTCAATAAAACCGTCCCTAAAGGCGCTATTGCATATTAAACTATATTGCTTCCCTTTCCTATGTCCCTTAGCGTAACACTTATAAAAAAAAAAATCTTCTGCAAGCTGTCTTAAGTTTGGATGACACGCAAACGCAAGCGAACTCTAACGGGACGTCAAGACGTTAAATTGGCGTGCACTCAATTAGCCACCGCACCGTATGTCACGTAACATGTTGCACAACACGCGACGCGACATGCGGACGCGATTACGAAGTCATCGCTTCCTTATAGGCCCGTTTACTTTGGTCCAGAATTCAGCTCGCGGTGTTTATAGAATCATTGATAACCAGTACATGAGTTAAATTGTGAATTTGTACACAGTACAGTCGGCAGCATAAACATTTATATATTTACAAAGCACCAAAAACTGCTATATGCGTTTGGTTTTAAAAATACAGAAGCACTTATCTGTCCGTCTGTTTCCAACAATGCAGATATGTAATTGATGAATACGTGTATACGTAATTTTGAAAATAAAGGCCCGGAAAGGTTTCTTAATTGTCGTAAATGTATACATATTTATGCAGCTGACTGTACGTTTTTGTTTATGATGTTGTGCTTTTTATTCGAAATTCAAAATTTGATTCCATTAAAAGAATATCACTCGACATCGACGATATTGACGGTACGTCCTAAAAATTTTCAATAAGCGGTGGCGAGCTAACTTATGCTGGGTTACTATCAGTGTTAGGTTGACTTAAGTTTTAAGGGAGTAAATATTAAGTTACGTAGTTCAGAAACGCATTTGATGAAGTTATCGAACTACAAACACTAACGAATGGTTAAATGTAGCTGGGAAACCGGCCATAAAATTTAACTGAAAGTTATAACCATTTAACGAATCGTAGCAACTAATATGATCTCCAATTTTTATATTTATTGCAGTACTTTAAGTATGTTTAAAATTCTTTTACGATATTTGATATTGTTTGCTATAAACGGTTCACAATTCATAAAATGACCTAATGTTATTCTAAGAATTTCGATTTCCATTGCACCGGTGAGTAATTTGACCTATAGCGTTCATGTCAATAAATTGCAACAACTACGAGACTCTAAATAAAGAATTAATATCATTTTTTATATTTTTTTTAGGTTTCAATACTAAACGTAGTCATGTAAATCAGCTTTTTAACAATCTATATATTGCTTATTTACTACATAATATATTTTACATGATATATAAATATAAAAATGAGTATAAAACATATTATGTAAAAAAAAACATACAGACAAATTGAGTACCTTCTTTTGGGAAGTCGGTAAAAAATAGAGCACAACCGGCTGCGGAATCCCATGACTCAAGCAACCAGTAGTCAGGGCTGCAGAGACAGGAACCTCCTCACAATACTTGCGGTTTCTAAAATAACTGCCTTTTATATCGGGCCCTTAATCTATCTGTCTAGCGAGAGCTTCTTAAGATGTTGGTCGAAGCTCTTCGCTATTAGCTATTTAACAATATTTTTGTTATACAGGATGTTACATAAAAGTATTATTATGAGTAAAGAGAATGCTTAGTTTAATAAAATTATGATGGTATTTAATTATTATTAGAGGAGTGTTTCTGAGATTTCGAAACCGCCATCTTGTTTATTCTGTAGTTGAATATAATTGCTTAGAGTTATATATTTTTTGAGTGTTTTTATTATTTGAATTAGATATTTTAACATAAACTAGTTTGATAACTCTTTAAATGTATTCAATAACCTAAAATGTCACCAATCTCGTTTTCGACCTCGCCTCTGATATTGAATTATAACAGTTGTTGTCTAGGTCATCCGGATACTTAGAATGCATAATCAAAATGTTTGAGATCCTTAATTTTATAAAACCTTTATCAGTTTTATGACTGTTTTATATCTGTTTTTATATATTAGATAGATAGATAGATAGATAAAGCCTTTATTCGCTGACAATTTACAATATTTACAACTTATTAATAATAAAATAAATAGTTGAAGTTAAATATAAAGTTTTTTTTTTAATTAAAGTATGTATGCACATTTTTCCAGCATCCAATTGCGTGTCAGGTTGTCCTTCGACATAGGCCTCCCCTAGTTTCTTCCACGTCTCTCTATCGCGCGCTAATCGTCTCGTTTTTATATATTACTAACCAAAATTCTTAATATTTATTATTATTATTACAACAGACTTAAAAAAATACACCCTGTTAGTTTAAAAATTTGAAATGTCAAAGTAGTCAATTAAAAGAAACATTGTAATGTATCATTAGTTGCTGGAAATAAAATGCTTTTTTATTTAATTTATTAATTCTTACAATATCCGAAAATATTTCTTTCATGTTGCAAAAATAATGTCAACTGGATTTTAGCATGTTATTGCTGTTGCTCGCGACTTCGCCCGCGTGAATTTAAAAAAAAGATAACAAATCCTATGTTACTCATTGATAACACAGTTTTTATCTGGTGAATGAATTTTTGAAATCGACCCAGTAGTTTTTGAGTTATTCCAATACACACAAAAATGTAAATGTTTCCTCTTAATGTAGGTAATACTGTCAAATAAAAAGACATTATTTATCCTTTTCGTTGCATAGTATAAATAAATAGTTAATTAAATAAAAACAGTACATTTAATTGGTTTCTCATTACGATTATACAAATATTACGTTGTTTGATTCCAGGTGGAGACAGGTCGTGAGGAGTTGAAAAAGGAACGCGAGATAATGCAGCTGGTGGCAGGTCTGCAACTGGGACCTGACGAAATGGAGCGTCGCGAAATGCCACCGCATATGATCAGATCCAGGCACGGACCTAGGTAGGTTAAATATTAGAAACTAGCTTTCGCCCGCGACTCCGTTCGCGTGGATTAAAAAAACAAAATTGAGTAGCCCATGTGTTCTTCTAGACGATCCTCTACATCCAAATTTCATCGAAATCCATCCAGCCGTTTACTACTCTAACAACGCTACAAACTCTAATATCCATCCATCCATCTAAACTCTTGCATTTATAATATTAGTATGAGATGTTACGCATATACGCATTTCACATGGAAATGTAGCTACTGTAGAAAATGTTGTTTAAAAGACCTAATGCTTGTCTTTTACAACTTTAAACTGTCGTGGTATTTTGTTTAAATATAATACTAGTAAGAAACAGGATTCTTACAAAGATTAGGTTGTTTGAGCTCCTGATATTTCAGCACAGTTGCATTGTCTATGTTGAAGTGATACGGTAGTAATTTTTTTAATATCGGAATATAAAACAACAAAATCGTGGTAAGAAACCCGTGTCTTCTTCTTCTTTTGGTGCCGTCTCCTAACGAAGATTGGCAATCATTACAGCGACTTGAAGTTTGGACACAGCAGCTCTAAATATAGAACGCGTACTTTTGTTGTACCATTGGCGAAGATTTTTAAGCCACGATGTTCTTCTCCTTCCTGGACTTCTTTTCCCTAGAATCTTACCCTGAATGATAGTCTGTAACAATTCGTATTTCGGTCCACGCAAAATATGCCCAAGATATTCCAATTTCCGTTTTTTTATAGTTTTGATAACTTCCACCTCTTTTTTCCGTCTTAAAAACCCGTGTCTTAAAAGTATCATAATGCTTATCTTATCTGAAATTTAAGGTAAGAGACCCAGTGGTTGATATAAGCTGGAAAAATGATGGGCCATGCTCGAGAATATAATTAAAAATCCTTCATCTTCGACAATTCTCACAAACCCATAGAGCGCGCGCACATCTTTGACTAAATTAGTGGTAGAGCCCGCTTTAACATCTTTGCACGAATGGGCCGGCACGCCCCCAGTAATACCACGACCATACAGAAAACAGGCATGAAATGGAAGCAATTCTGTGTTTCGTCTGATGAGTGTGGTGCCGGAGGCCTAATTTAAGTCCATTTTTCTTTACTACCCTTTTTTTATAAGAGGAGGATGGGAAGGGGAAGTGGATTTGACGGTGGAGGAGATGCATAGGAAGGGGAAATATCCTCTTTCTGTGCGTCTCCTCATCCGTCAGGTACGGGTAGGCAAGGCAAGGCATCTGCAACTTCGGATGTCTATGGGTAGCGGCCGCTTGCTCGTTTGCCACCTTATGTTATGAAAAAAAACTTCGCAGAACTATTTAGACTCGCTTTAATTGTCGAACTAAACAGTTGAGGCTCCGAAACAATCGAGAAACACACAACAGTTCTACAATAGCTTCGTCAAAGATGTGCCCTCGGTCTTAGTGGTTAAACGCTGTAGCTTAAAAAAAAGTGTCTTTCTCTAGCGATCGACGATTAAACGAATCTACTTCTATTTCAAAAGTACTTCTTTTTAGTCTTAATTAATCATTCGATATCTACGACTTCCTTCTCATGTTACTTTCCACATTTTGAATGAACACCCGTGTTACTTTCGACATTATTAATAAAACACTTTCTTGTTATGGTTTCAGATAACACCACGCTATGGGAGTGTCGACGTGCGACTGTCAACCAGCACGTGTCCACCGGAAATGACAATCACTTTACCTCGATTCATGTCCGATTTACGCAGCCACAAATATTGTTTACCACTGTGGCAAAAAACTTTGTATCAAGTACTCGTACTGTCTGTATTTTGTCAGCCGCAAAAACAATTTTGTACATCAAGTTACGATTGTCGATTCGTAATCGATACAAACATCGATTTGTCACGAACGCGGCAACTTTCCAATACACGATTCTCATTTCGTGATATTAAAAAATCTATCAACTTATTTAGATATTATGAATAAATTTTTGTAGCACTATTTCATACAACGAATGTGGTCTTAAAATTTTGTTACTTAAAATTTAAATATACTATTATAATGTCATTTTAAGTTGTTTAATAAGGATGTTATCTATCATGAAGTATGAGTTAAAATAATTGACTACATATCTGGTTCAAAGAGTTTCAAAAGATATAGAGGAGGTAATGTCATCTAAAATATTTTTTACATTATCTCACTAACGCTATCTATGGATAGGTTTTCAAAACCACATACAAGTTCAACAACCAACATAGTACCATTCAGAACTACCAGAGAAAAAAATGTACATTATGCCTCGTCTATACATTTTTTTAAATACCTGGGTACATCATAAGAACAAGATTAATTAAATGTGCTATTAACAAGGTCATTTCATTGTAAATGGTTAAAAATCGATTTCAAAACAGAATGAAATATCGACTGTGAAACGAGTTACAAATTGCATGTAATTACATTAATTTGAGTATAATTCGATGTTCTTACGTAATTTACTGAATTAAAAATTTGCTACTAAAAATAATAATTCACGACTGAAACACTAGTGTCGTTACACTCGTTACGTCTAAAAAACCTTATATCGATGGCTCCTATGTAAAACGTTATAAGCCATAAATTTTGCGATTGTATTTTGTTTTAGTGAACCTATTTCTTTTATCTTCTTAAAATTAACTGAATATATTAATTGCTGTGTACATTTGAAAGTAACTTTAAGTTTGTTTTAACTTACACAGATTTGTCTGAGATAAATGTCAGATAAACCTGGACGTGTGTAGCAGGCTTTAGAGCTGTAGATTTTGGTCTCTATTGTATTTATGTTTGATGCATTGAAATTAATTGTATTAAAGTTTTGTTTTGAAAAATTTGCGTTTCAAACATGCGATAGTTTACGTAGGAGCCACCGATATTAATTATGTTTTCATACACGTATTTTTGAACTAGAAAATCAACGCAACAAAGATTTCTTTTTCTTAAAAAAAACATATCTTACAAAATGGCGATGTTCTTCTAATTGTGAAAGGATTTATAAAAATTACTTCGATACATAAGAAAAGGTAAAAAAGTCAGGAAATATTACAAAGATTAAGAGCCTGTCCCACCACTGGCTAATAGATGCTCAGATAGCTTAAAAACGTCACTGTCAGATAAGATAACAAAATCCGATATTTCCAACACACATTTTACACGTTGGATAGTTATCAGACAAATTACAATTTAGTGGGACAGGTCCTAAATATATTAATCTATACTATTATAATAAAGCGTAAACACACACTACTTTGTTGCCTAAGATGTCAGCAATTACAGCATGTTTTTCAATAATTCTTTTTTTAATAAAACGCCCTACACTTATGTCACGCTTTAGGCTATATATTTTAACGCCATTAAACTTAGAGGGTGAAGGTTTTGGATAAAAATCCTAATGTGGGTAAGTTGCTGCCAACTAAGGTTTGTCATGTCATGTCATTTTGACATTTGCAATTGATAATTTGACAAATGTAAACAATAAAATAAAATTTTCATAATTTCATGCGGATGAATCCGCACGGGAACTACTAGTGAGGAAAATTAAATTGTTGTGTATATCATGTTAGTCTTCATCGGATTTGTGTAAATCGAAACACTTGTATAAAAACGTTTCGCTATCTCTTTCATTCTTCTTTAAATAATAAAGACAACATATTTTATTACAAGCCTAAACTATCGCACAACAGTTCTGCGATTGTCGATTGTTTCGCAGACTTGTTTAGTTGCATAACTAAAATTCGAGTAGTGTGTATTTTCATATAACCTTATAGGAATCAAAGTGCGACTAAACAGTTGTGCGATAGTTTAGTTTCGGGTGTGCGCACGCTCTACGAATATAAAATCCTAACCTGAGTGTGTCAATTGACATCTTACGCCAGTTACGCGAAGAGATTAGTTCCATATTTTACCGTAATATGCGAGGGTTAGGTTGTACGACAGTGGGTTTCCGCGGTAATAATCGTATTCATGCATAAAACGCAAACCTAGTTTCTGAGTTTATGGGCGCTGCCAGGAGATGATCTGATTAGTGGGGAGCTCGTGGTTTTACTCATATTCAAATTAACATTTTTGAGTTTTTTTTGTGTACGGGAGGCCTTATATTCTTTTCCCCTCCAACCCTTTCTGGAAGTGGATTTGAAGGGGCCTCCCCATTCAAATCATGCTTCATAGGGCGCATAAAAATGGAAATATGCTCTTTTTATGCGCCCTTTCTGACAATTAAAGGCTGTTTTCGCTATTTTAGCGAATTCAACTTATTGGCGATGCCCATGAGTGTTATATAGAAATAAATTACTACATTTTGAAATATTATTGGTATTATAATCTTTCTATGACCAAATATTATAAAGACATAACAAGGAGATTCCCCAGTTAACTAAGATTGCGATTAAATTTAAAATATATGAAGTTATAATAAGATAATATTAAGTTATGTTGGGTAGATATAAAAGAGGTTTTGAAGCTTATTACAGTAGAATCTCGATAGTTTAAAAACCTCTATAACTTCAAAAAATAATATGTTCCCTTCCCATCAGAGCCCAAAACCTCTATAACATAGACCTTTGATAACTTAAAACCTCTGAAACTTTAAATATTTTGTGTTTCCCTTGGACTTTAACTTATCGAGGTTCTATTTGAAATTAAAAATCTATTACATTTGACTATAACTAGTATAACTGAAATCTAATATTTAATTCCATTAAGAGGAGTTTATTAAGGATTTTATTCTCTATAATAAACTCCGAAATGCGCTTCCCATATCGAGTATTATTCATGTAAGAGCCAAAGATCAAATCTCAGAGCTTTGAAAATGGCACAATTCTTTATATCAATTTTAAAAAGATAATTTAAATGGTTTTATGTTTAATTTTATTGCTAGTTCTGCAACATTTATAAACAGTTTACAGTATTCTGCTCAATTTTGAAGCTCTCAGAATTAAAAAAAAAAAAAAAATTAAACCCTTAGGGGCCGTCCATAAATTACGTCATCGATTTTTTCAGACTTTAGATCTCCCCCTTCTCCCAAAATTGACGTCATTACCAGTTTGACGAAATTAAAACATTGAGTTGTTTTAGTATTGTACGCGCCTTAGCCACCTCTCACATTTACAGTCCCACTTACTAGGTGTGCTGGAAGAAATTTCTTTTTAGAAATAATCTTTTTGTACGTGAACAATAAACTATAAATAAATAAATAAGAATGACGTCAATTTCGAAACACTCCCCCCTTCCTATCTATCATTTACCGTCATCCGCAGA